TAAAATATCAACTTAATTCTTTGGCACTCTCATTTTTGCAAGATTACCTTTTAAAAGGTATATCCTGCCCTCAGTCTTTTGTACACAACGAACTACAAAAGATGTTATGCCCATCTTTTTTCGATTTGAGACCATAATCTAAATTGCCCTTTCCTTGTAGTTCCACATATTAAAGACAGTAAATAAATTTCATAAAGCCTTTGTCTCTATTTTTCCTTCTTCCCTCTGACATGAACACAGGAATGCAAAATGATTTCCTAGGTGTTCAATTTTACCTAATCTCAGAAAGGAAGTTGGAAATGCACAAGAAATGAAATGCAATCGTATTGTACAGTCCCACATACAACAACACAATTATTAGTTACTTAAATTTCATGTGATCAGTTTTTATTTACAATGTCCACATGGTTAAGGTCCAATTTTCAGAAAATTTATCTACTCTGTCACCTGCCAGACAGACTCACAGCACTGTAACTAAGGGCACATGCAAATGTGCTCCTCTATATGCTATTATTATTAAATATGTTACTCTCACAGCTAAAAGCAAACAAAGCATAGTCATTGCTCTTTAAGCATTAAAGACTTACATTCAGTTAAGTGTTAGTCCTCACACCACAGCTAGTAATATGTGCTCAGTAAATGTTTGTTAAACAGTGAATCCATTTCAGCTGTTTTCCAACTTCCACTGCAACCACATTCTTAACAATAAAGGAACAATCTCAGGCCTTTGGGTTGACACCTGTATCCCCAGCGCATCAATAATCTTTCTTACCTTTTCTATTAAAAAAATTGTTTTGCTGCCCTTGCAATTTTTCACAATTGCCACAAACCGACCACACATTTTCAAAACTCTTGTAAACTTAGTCTTACATAATCTTCCAAACTCATTTTAAAGAGAGTAAGTTTAGTCAGTTGAACAAGAAAGAATATGAACAGGTATTCTCCCGACTTTATCAAACAGATGAACACTCACAATTCCAAAAGCAGTAAGGCCATTGTGTTTCTCCTCTACACCAGTCTACTATTTGTTGCTCAAGACAAATAATTTGACTAATTAAGGCTTCAGAACTTGTCATCCCTTTATTATTTTCTCCTCTTTATGTAAAATAGTTCAGTTCTAATAAATGTTAAACAGTATTAGAATGAACTATAAAATAATTCTGATTGTCTTAGACATGGTAAATGAGTTCATAATACAGGACACTTTCAAAATATATTATCCCAAAATAAATATAATCTTAAAAGTTTAACAGTTTACCAAAATCAAGTAGTAGCAATCCAAATTAATAGTAGAAATAAGCATAAAATGAAAGCCAAGGTAAAAATAGAACAAAGAGTTTCATCACACTGTTGTTAGCAGTAGCTTTTTCACTATGGAACCCTCTAAAACTGTCATAGATCTCAAACTATCAGTTGTAAATGTTTGTAACTTTTAAAGTAAAATCTAAACTCAACCCAACATTTAAGAATGTTCTTTTACCAGATGGGAAGACTAAATTAAAAAAAAAAAAAAGCACAGTTGTTTCATTTTGTTGTTTTTTTTTTTTTTTTTTGGTTTTTCTCCGGTACCAGGAACCGAACTCACGACCTTGTGCTTGCCAGGCAGGCGCTTTTGCCGCTGAGCTAAATCCCCAGCCCCCTCAGTTGTTTCATTTTATGTGTATCTTAAAGCAATCAGTGGTACAGGAGACAAAAACCTACCACACTCAATAATTACTCAGCTTCTATTATTATTACTATTGTAAAGGCAAGCAAATAATTCAAGTGCAGAAAATCTTAAAAATGAGAAAGATTTGAGTAAAGTCCTTTCTTCCTATTCAAACATGTCATTCTAACTTCTAAAACATACCTAGTATTCCCTCAGCCTATGAACTCGTACTCAACTCCTGGAATTGTAAATAAGGAATTTGAAATGAACACTTTCACTATTTATTAATAGTTTTCAACTCATTAAAATTTTGGAAGGTCCCCAAAGTACCATTAAAACCCAGATTGTTAACAGAGTTATGGGAATTTCCTTGTGTACTGGCATGAATAACAAAATAAGAAGTATGGTACAGTTGTGCGGTATGCATTTTTCCAAGAATAGACAGATAACAGCAGAACTACATGAGACTAAATTAACTTGTGCCTGGAAATCTAAGATATATACATGTGCTTAGTACAACCTGACAACTTAAAGTTTCCAACACAATTTATTTTCATAAAAAATTAAAACATTCCATTTTTAAGTTGAAAGAAGAGACAAATAATTTAAAGTATTCCCTTTTATCAAATGTATTCTTTTCAGATTGTTTTTTTCAGGGATTGGGGATGGTTTGGGGTCAGTGAAGCTATGCTTCCATTTATAATTATTTTCTCACTTCAAGCCAATTCTGAATTAACACTAAAACCACACACACAAATTACTCACATCATAATGTGAAAACGATCAATTATGTCCTCTTTACCTATAAATTTCTCTGAAGGTCTTTAAAACACCGAACCAAGGGCCTAGCACATGATGGACAAGGGTTCTACCACTTAGCTACCTCCCAGCTCTTATAGAAATTATTCTGAGTGTGCAGAGAGAGCACTGCAGAATGTATAAATGGATCTTAAGTCTGTCTCCGAACACCTGGGTAGCTCTCAGAGCAGTAGTATTTGTAAGTTGGAACAAATCATTGTTTCTCCGCATGTGGTCCCCAGGCCAGCAACAGCAGCAGCATCTAAAAATTTTCTAGAAATAGAAATTATGAGATTTGATCCTAGAGCCAATGAATAAGAAACTGGAGGAGGGCCCAGCAACATGTGTGTTGAAATTCAGGTAACTTTGACATGTGATCAAGTTTTAGAACCTCTGAACTAGGTGATCTCCAAAGCCTCCTCAAATTGTCAAAGCCTACTGAGATTACATCAAACATCTCATCTACAAGGAGCACCACATTCAGCTGAATGCGTTCCACCATCCCAGTAGTCTAAATACAATATCATGATGAAGAATAGCACCTCTATTAGTACACTGAAAAATTTGTATTTTCATAAATACAAAATTTGTACTAGCAAGCTTTTTATAATTAAGCAGACACTGTGACAAATGTTTGATATCATATTAACTAACAGTGGTAATTTCCACATTAAATCTTGCTTCCTTTCACATCTGTAATGTAGAAATTTATTTGGGCTGTTGTAAAAAAGAACTGCTTTTTGACAGTTAAGGTGCAGACATTTTGCATGTATTTCACGAGGCCAGTTACTACGCATAGCTTTTCCTCACTTCCCCTCCTTGCTGTGACAAATCCTGGGATATCACTCAAAAGGTTGTGCTGTAACAAAGCTACAGTTCAAACAGATGAGGCATTTTAGGATTCCATCTACAAGAAATATTTAATCAGAAAACATGAAGTCTCATATATTAAAATAATTCTAATCTCAAATACAGCTGGTTCCAAACGTGATTTAGTGACGTCTACTTCAACAGTCAACAACATGAAAATTGTTTTATCAAAGAACTCCCAACATGAAAGTGTTAGACTTGAGATGATACCTTAACTTTCCTGAGGCTACTGCAAAAGGAAGAAAAAAAAATAACCCTTTGAAATGACACAGAACCTGGATTAACTGTCACAGACCAAAAGGAAAAGCTGTTAAAAAAACAGCAGGGGTCAAGTTTAATAGTCAGGTTTTACTCCCCAAGAAGGCGCTTTTCCCACCCAATCTCTGTTTTGACAGGTGATTGCCTTACAACAAGCCCCTCCCCGCTAGACTCACTTCCTTTCACGCTCCTGATTCAGCCCAACTTGGTCACTGAAACAAATGCGCTTATCTCTCCCAGCCACAGTGCGAAGGGTTCTTCTAGCCAAATCAACTGACAATCTTAAAACATTTTTTCTTGAAGAGAAAGAATGTCTCTAGGTCTCAATTTTGTCAAGAAATTAACAGAGAAAGACTCCCCAATTTTGCAACTACCATTTTCTTGCCCCAGGTACACATGAAATTGCTGTAATGAAGTATCAGAAAAGCATCTGTTACAGTACTCATTAAATACATTAAAATCTGCTTTGCCATCCCACACCTACAAAGAAATTAGTTGTGCAAGTTGTGCAAGTGACTAAATCTTATATGCAGGTGATTAATGCATACAGCGATCTATTTCATTTCCAATTTTCCAAATATTTTCTGTCAGGAGTATATACATTTCCTAAATTAACTGTATATTTGGTAGCATTTTTGTCAAAAGGCTTCCAAGTAATAAAAATTAAGTCAACAAAATACCTTTTCAAAGAAATCCTTCAGACAGTACACGACACATCTTCAGAATTTTCAACATTTTAGATCTACTTAAGCCACTAAGTTTATTCGAATGCCAGAATAAATCTTTACAAAGGCATATATTTGAGCAACTTCCCTCTATTTCTATATGTAGAATATTTATGATATTGCCTTCCAATTTTTTTTAAGTGTGAATTCAGAATGGCAAAACATGGCACTAGGATCATTACAGGCAAAACTGGTCATTCTCACACTGGAATACTGAAATGCCTTGTGGGAAAAAAAACCGTATGTTAAGGCAAGTATGTTAATGCAGCTCAAAGAAACTGACTTGTAATTCCTTTTGGCTTTGCCAAGGGAATAAATCCCTTTGTCAGACTTCAGTTACACTTCATAAACCTAAGATATATCAAGTACTTTCATATATAAACAACTCAAGGAGGCTGAGGCAGGAGAATCCCAAGTTCCAGCCCAGCTGTACAACTTAGGAATTTAGTGAGACCCTGTCTCAAACTGAAAAACTAAAACAAAGGGCTGGGGATGTAGCTCAGTGTGAAGGTCTTGGGTTCAATACCCAGCACTGCAAATACAAACACACACACACACACACACAGATTTTTCTCTTACTCTGTGCTAAAGATATCTTTAAGAAAAATAAATAGAAAAGCTCACACTGCCTCCTACTGTTAGAAGGAAAATCTATAAGGTCAAATTATGGTCCACAAACAGTACAGAATCTTGTGTTGTTATTTTTTTTTTTTTTTAATAATCTAACCATGTTTCCAGATGAAAACCTTGAAACGGTTGCAATATTGTCTATAACCTATAGAGACACTGCAGAATGCACTACAAGGTAAGACAGAATTAGAAGCTCTGCTTCCCATACTTCAGACTTGATGTGCGACATACACAACTAAAAACCAAAAAGTGCCACCCTGCTTTGCCAAATGGATGGTTACGTTCCTAGAGCTAAGGCAATGTTAGAATTTGGTTTCTCCCTTTCCCTACTTACAGTGGAATAAACAGCTCCGTGTCAGCAGAACAAAATCACAATGTACCTTCTCATCTTGTAGTCAGGCTGTATAGCCAAACCCAGGGCTTCCTAGACACTGAGGATTTTCTTCCTATTCCAGAAGTTGGAAACCTTACCCAACCTGTCACTGAGCTATGTCTTCAAAATTTGACAACTCTCTGAGGACATCTTTCACCTGCCCCTGTCCACCTCAGCCGCGATACTATTATTACTGACACTGTAAACCACTAAATATGAAGTACAGAAACACAAACAATAGTTCTGGGGTTGTTTCTTTAAAAATGATGTTTGTATTAAAAGTCTTAAAATGAAGAGACAATGATTAAAGGAGTGGAATTAAAAATTACAATGAGAATGCTCTTGGTACATCACAACGGTGAAAATTTGCTCTTTGCTTCTGGAGGAATACCCTTTGAGAGAGAATCAAAACATTTAAAAATATAAAATGGGAACTAAATACCTGAAATTTAAACAAAATGAAAGGAAGAAAAACATTGCAAGATATGGACATTTTAAAATGCTAAAAACGATAAAGCAATTCACTGAACAACAGGCCCTATTGTCCTGGCTCCTTCAGGAAGATTACTGAAACTGGGGAGTGGTCTGGGGGGGGCAGCAGATTCTGGGATACGGTGGGAGGTTCACAGGTTGGCACCGGCTGGAACAGCTGAGTTTTGAAGGCACTCTGCAGACAGGGGTGCTGGGGGCCCTGAAGCGCATTTACGAAGTCTTTGTATGGTATTTTTAAAAGCTAGTCTTTAAAATTCTGTTACTGCCAACCAAAAGGGAAAAGAAAAACAAGCTAAACTTGAAACACACACACACACACAATAGTACACACAAAATTGTGCAGATCTGTAACATTTTTTTTTCACAGCTGATAAAAAAAAATACTACCATTCTCCCCCAGACTCCCCTTTGATACAGTAGGTAAACAAAATAGATTTTTTTTCCACAAATATCAGCAGACACTTTCTGGCACCCCACACTGCATTGGCATCAGTGCTAACAGTCCCAGTTCAGATGCACAATACTTCAGATTGGATACACTGTAACAAGAATCCAACTTTGCATAGACATCCTCAGAATCGCAGTCAGTCACAGGGTTGCCCTTCCAAGCCGGTAGAAAAGAAACCCGATTTTAATTTCCAGCTACTCCTGGAAAATAAGGAAAAAACCCTACAAAAGTTTCTTCCTCTCCTCCTGCTCCTTCATATGCTTTTCCCGGACTTCCTTCCGAGTATTTAAACTTGGAAACAGAAAACAGTTGTTGACAACAAAAGAGGCGGGGGGGGGGGTCCCCCCTTCCACCTTCTTCCCTTTCACTTCCCCCACCTCCCCAACCCCCGTTTTTTCCAAGCTGAAACTTTTGCTCGCCTGGTGTCAAGCTGCCAATACAATCCCCTAACGGCTACTTAAATGGGGAAATATGCGTCAACCAAAAATCAATGAGAAACGTACATGTCGCAAAGAGCCACATTTCCAGCAGGGTCTCAGATGGTCAGGACCGGACAACCCCCTCAGACAAGGGGTGAAGAAGGTAGGGGATGCTGGCCGCGGAAACCAGTAGGGCTCCCGGGACACCCCGACCAATGCAAAGTCGTCTCCAATCTCAAAACAAGAACAAAAATCACATCTAGAGTCGGATGCGTTTGGCTTTTGTGCGCACAGCATGGCCAGCGCTCGGGGGCCGCGGGCGCCTCAGAGGATCACGCAGGCCGAGCAGCAGCCCTCGTCGCCGTTGGGCTGCGCCGCGTAGTTCATCTGCCGCACGATCTCGGCGAACAGCTCATCCACCGAGGCTTTGTTTTTGGCCGATGTCTCCATGAAGGGGCAGCTCCACTCCTCGGCCAGGGCCTTGCCCTCGCCGTAGGAGACCTCGCGCTCGCCCTCCAGGTCCACCTTGTTCCCCACGAGGATCATGGGCACGCGCTCGTACCGCTTCACGCGGATGATCTGGTCCCGCATGGGCTTGATGTCCTGGAAGCTCTGCTGGTTCACGAGGCTGTAGACGAGGATGAAGCCCTGGCCGTTCTTGATGTACAGGTCCCGCATGGACGCGAACTGCTCGGTGCCCGCCGTGTCCAGGATCTCCAGCACCGACGGCGA